CTCTATTTTTCAGATCCTAAGGAAACTTAACACTACTAGGACTGTTGGTATTTGTTCAAAAAGTGTATTTGACACTAACACAGTTCCTATAAGCAAAACCTCAAGCCTACCTTTTGGGACTCAATCCTCACTTCAATTGCTTTAGTCTCAGCATCACCAATGATGCTTTCAGCAGTCTAGAAATGAATATTATACAAAATGAAGAGTAGAGGCAGATGAAATCTCAAAACAATGGTAACTTCATAAAATTACCATCTGTGCTTGACTCTTCATGTCCTGTGCTTGTTTTTGAGCTTCGTTAAGCACTCCAGAAGCTTTGTCTCTAGCTTCAGCAGCTAGCCTGTCAGCTTCAGACTTCCAACCAGATAACTTCTTAGCAGTCTCCTGCTCCAGTTCAGCTGCTTTTTTTTGAGCATCGCTAAGAGCACGTAAAGCATCATTGTGAGCGTCATCACCGGTTCCCGCAACATTCGATTTTAGGCCTTGTAGCTTGACGACAGTTTGCTTCTCCACTTCACCAGCCTTCTGCTGGGCGCCTTCGTATGCATGTGAGATAGTGTCTTTCGCCTGTGCTGCTGTTCTTTCCGCCTCGCTCTTCAATCCGGAAAGCTTCTGAGCGGCTTCATCCTTCAACTGAGCTGCTTTTTTGGCAGCATCGTCAACTGCATGTTGAGCGGTATCTTTAGCATTAGCAGCTATAGCTTCAGCCTCTGACTTCCAAACTTGCATGTTTTGCGTGGTGTAATCTCTGAGGTCAGCAGCCTTCTTCTGGGCATCGAGAACAGCATCCAAAGCAATCTGGTTACCTTCGCTGCTAATCGCTTTTGCCTCACATTTCAAATGTGCCAACCTCTCTGCAGTCTCCATGGCTGCTTCAGCTGCCCTATTCTTGGCTTCGTCAAGAATCTCGGCGATACGGTTCTTTCCTTCGGTAGACACTTTTGCGGCTTCAGCCTCTAATTCCGACAATTTCTCATTAATCTCGTTCTTTACTTCACCCACTTTCTTCTGGGCGTTATCAATCAAAATTATGGTAGCCTCCTCAGCTTCTAGAGCCGATTTTTCACTGTTATTCTTCCAATCCGACAACTTGCCTTCAAGATCACTCTTCAAGTCAGCAGCTTTCTTCTGCGCATCATGAAGAGCCTCAGCAGCGGCTCTTTGAGCTTCAGCAGCTGTGTTTTCGGTAAAATCTTTCATGCCGGATAGCTTTTCAGCAGCAGAATCTTTTGTATTGCCTGCTTTTTTGTTAGCGTCAGCAAATGAATTGTGAATGGTATCTTTAGCATCTTTCACAATTTTTTCAGCTTCATTTTTCATTCCCAACAGCTTCTCAGCAGTCTGGAATTTCGCATCGGTGGCTTTCTGCTGTGCATCGTTAAAGATGCGGGCTGATAAACCCTTAGCGTCTCCAGCTGTTTGCTGGACTTCAGTTTTCCATCCCGACAATTTTTCACATGCTTCTCCCTTGAGATCATTTGCAGCCTGAAATAAGAAAAAATTTGGTTAGCTTCATCAACGTCAATGAAGTCAATTAGGGGAATACCTTCTCAGCGTCATCTGTCCAGCTTGACAACGATTTTGTCGAAGCATCATCTGGCTCTGATCCCTTATTCTTTGTGACATATTCAGTCTTTTGAGAGACTACTTTGATGTTGCCCTGATTCGAGGGGTTTACACCCGATGTGAACTGAAACATCGTACTTATTGATGACGGGACCGGAGCTTTATGAAAATATTAATGCTATTACCAGGAGATTATAACATTAATGTAATGAACGGTAATGGATGGTAATTCCTG